CTGTGGAAAATCCATTACTTCTAGCTGATTTTCATTGGGAAACCGGTGGTTTCTACACATCTATGTAAACGTTTACCCTAGCGTACCGAAATTTGCCCTGTGACGCCCAGTTGAAACCAGACTTGAAGATGATCTGGACTCTGGACGAGAAATAAGGTCCTTTTGGGAATGTTACTGTACCCATCTGTACCCTTACTGGGCATCATTCTGATGTCATTGTGCTTCTCATGTATCCGAAAATAGAATCCAAAAATCGGGTAAGTGGCCGTTTCGGTTGATCACCTGAGATGCAAATGGCCCACTTGGAATCACCAGCGCTGCAAGAACCCCTGACCACAAAGACCAAAAAGAGGAGTATCGCAAGAAATTGTTCTTGGAACCTTCCGAAGAAAGTCTAAACAAATCTAAACGATTTTTCACACTTCACTCTCCAAAAAATTGGCATCGAATCCCTTTCAACTTGATCATTGGTCGAAGATCTGTGTTTCAGATATCAGCCGACCTTCTACCACCGGCTACCACAACACAAGAAAACATCATAGCGGCAAGCGAGCACGACAAAATCTTCAGAAATTTGCTGACCCTCCAGGTCATTGCGTACGAGATATGCCAAGGCTCGGTCTTGGAAATTTTGCATGCCTTCTGCTCCTTCCAAGTAATACCATACCATCACCCTGCAAACAAAGAACAGACTTTTGTTCATAGGTAAAACATGGTAAAACATCTATAGATGGCCTATTTCCATCTATTTCCCATAGCTATATGTTACTTTACTGGAGGGTAAAGCATGGTTGTTTCAATCCTTCGATCTTGTTGCACTATGTTGCACTCATTTTTCCGGTCCCACCAAGTCTTGACACTGGGGAATGCTCGGCTGCATATTGGAGAAACAAAAACTCAACATCCTCAGTTTGAAACATTTTTGTATAGCGTGTGTGTGTGTAAACAAAGATCACAGACAAACTTATATATACAATTAATTATATATATATATATGTATATTATATACACATATCAATATCATATTATCTACTGTAATTATATATAATTATGGTGGTTGTTCAAAATTATGGTTCCTCAAAACTGCCCTTTCGCCAAGCTTTTGCGAACATTTCGCGCCCTTTCGCGCCCCAGCAGAATCGGGACAGGGAAGTGTCATCATGTTTTGAGGTGTAAATTTCGTACTGAAGGTTTACATGAGGATTGCATTGGAAACATCAATTGTAATTAATTCTACAGTAACCAGGAAGTGGAAGCATTCGCCTAAGTCGTCTTACAGATTGCCCGAGAATGGAAACACAAGTTGAAAAGACTTTGAAGGGTTTTTCCACTTCAGACAAACTAGACCATTTTGGGCCAAGGTGGGATCCTGGCAGACTCGCCTTTTGCCAACCTTTCGTGAACCTTCCGGGGATTTCTCGCCTACAAAAACGAGTTTTCAAACTCATGTTTCATGAGAGGCGGGTGTTTCAGTTCCATTACTAAAACCCATTCCTTGAATTTCCTTGACAACGGACTCCTGTTCCTAGAGACAACTGCTCGCTACTCGGTTCAACTCCTTGCTCGCATCGCGAGATTGCGAAATGCTCGCGCCCTTGGCGACATTGTTTCTGTTTTTGAATGTGGCAAAGCCCGCAGTAAAGAATCCCAAATTGGGGATGATTATAAGTTGTTGGGTATACCCAATAATGATCAGGATCATTTAAGAACTCATAGACATAACCCCCAGTCATGGCTGGTTAATTGGATGGTGTATGGATATCAATAGAATTTGAGCAGCTCTCCAGATTGTTCCTCATATTCCCCGAGCCTGGCTTGCGACCATTTCCGAAGCGGCCCAGGCAGACTGTCAGACTCCAGTCAACGCAGTCAATGCTTTTGTTGTGGGAAAATTCGGCAACTGGTCCGACCGATTCCTTGGAACTTTCGGTTTCTATAGGGTTTCTATGGGTTTCTGATCTTTGCCCCCGAAAGTGAGATCAAAAAAAATAGTGACAAGCGGCAAATAAGCGCTGAGAATGGTGCCGTGTCTTTTCTCTTAAAGCTTGAGTGAGCACAACCAAGAGCGCCAATGATTAATCTATATATAATGTGTAGTGTATTAATTTGTTGCAGGATGTTGCATGGAATTGCCGATTTTTCACACTGCAAAGGCTGCAAATGAGCAAAAGATGAACTGCAAATGAGCTGCTAACGCCTTTGGATCCTTTGAAACCTCGGGGCTTTTTTTCGGCAGCCCAGTCTCAGACAAAACTGTAGAGTCTGTAGCCCTTCCGAATTATCTTTACAGCCACCGCTGGTGGGCTGGGTCATGCGGATGTTCCTGGTGTCTGCTAAGAAAGTGTTCTTCCCAAGCTCGGCAACATGCTCACTCATAGCAACAAATAGTCTCATGATTCGTCCATCTACCCGCCATCGGTTCAGAGTTTGATCCGTAAAAGTGGCATCACTGAGACTCGCACATCTCAATTCCTCCCAAGTGGGCCCATAATGTTACATGATCTCATGCATGTATCAAAAAAAATGGGGGATGCCACAACCTCTAGTACTCTAGTCTTACCCGGATCCCTTCGGTTGTCTTTGATGCTCGCGACGTCATATGAGACGCCCCGTGGTTCCGTGGTTTTCCATGCTTCACACAGTGTGCCGTATGCACCGCACTCCCAACCACACCGGCCAACGACAGCAAGAGAGCTACTTCCCTACAGTCGCAAACTCCGGGGCCATATGGGGCCATATGGGGCCCAATTTCGTCCAAAGTCTCATTACCAGGAAGGCTACTTCAAAAGATCTGGTACATCATCATGTTGGATGATTTTGAAAATGAACTTAGCAATGGTTCCTTATTCTGAATGAATTAGTTCATTAGTTATTCTTTTTTGAATGAATTTATTGTGTTAAAACATGTCAATGCTTTATCAATATCACCATTATGAAGATTGCTACGGCTATTATAACTTTTGTGATTAATTATGATAATTGATGTTTTGACTTTTACTATTACATATTATCAATTCAAGAGCAATAAATTCAATATGTTCAATCGGGCCAGCGCGATTGGGTACAGATATACTTATTTTACACGCTGCAGTGGAATGGGCACAGTACGGGAAGGGTGGTGCGGTATGGGCATGCTACGGGCACGATGATAATTTGTGTGCACCTGGTGACCGCAGCCTCTTTTAGAGGACCCGTAGCTTCACACAAAGCATTGCTCTTCAGAACAGTTAAATCAAGTAATATATATATAATTATATATATATACATGCAATGTCAGGGCCCACCACTTTGAAACCTCCAAACCGGTCTTTTTTTGGGCCCAGAAATGAGCTCTCCTTGATGTTGCATATTGTTGCATAAAGCGGCATGAACGGCATCTTGCCTACCACATGCGCAGGGCTCAGGCAAAATGATGCGCATATCCCAACATATTTGGCATCTTGCGTGGCAGGTGCAACAGTTGGTTTCCCGCTACTAGCCTTTTCCGTGGCAGGCGTCTATAATACTTTCTTCACTTCTTGTCCCCTTTTACTTGACAGGCGCAATGTTTGGTCTACCTCTAATGTCATTTACATGGCAGGCACGTCTCTTTGCATTTTCGTGGCAGGCACAATATTTGGTGAACGTCCACATTGCAAGCGCAGGACGTGGTCAACGTCTAGTTCCCAGTCTCCTAGCAAAGGAATTTGAAGCCCCGGCAGCAACCCCTGCAACAGCGGCAAACTGGGCGGTTTCAGCCCAGCTCTGGCATGCAGTTGCGCCTGTCACCTCCTGATATATAATTCAGCCAGCCGCAAAAGAATGCATCCTATTAGTGGTAGGAACATGCGACTGCTGCAAGGCAACAGTTGTAATTCTCCAGCACTTTATATATAGACTGACGTCTACAGTATAAACATATATAAATATAATTATAATATATATATATATATGTATATATATATATATGTATGTAATTATAATCCCATCTGCCCATGTGGCTGTGGAGCCAATCCTTCTACAATGCCCGCCTCGAGGCAGGACTTTGTGACGCACTGGTTCGCTCATGACGAGATTTTTGATGATGGAAATGGCACCAATGAGAAACCCATATGCTCCATGTATGGTGTATTTACCTACATTTGCCCTAAAAATCAACCAAATGTAGGTGAATATACCATACATGGAGCATATGGGAAATGGGAAATTGGTGAGTCATGTGATTTAATTAATGGGATTTGATCAAGGTGGTGTTTGAGTTTGCTACCTAAGTTGGGGTTGAAACAAATAGGTTAAGTGTTGGAGTATGGTAGATATGTCAACAGTTCACCGGGGTTGTATGGGGTACCACCTTGTACCAGAGGCATGTGAACTACCTGCTATGACGTGCATAAGGACCTAAGGAACCCCATTCTGGGTCTCGTTGTTTCAACAAAAAATCATAGTCAGCAAACTCCCGTTGTAACCAACGGGTTGTACGGCATTTGGTGTCACATGCTCACCAGGGCTATGAAGCAAGATGAAGCAAGTACCCTCCGTAGAAAGGATTTATGAATGTTCATCCCCTGAAAAACAGCTATTTACTCTCCAATGTCCAAGCGAATTCTTTACCACTGAGTTGACAGGGCATCTACGATTAGCAATGTCTAGGTGAATGTTTGTGAAATGTTAAAGACTGCCAATGTCATAGTCACAGTCCAAAATGGTTGCTAAGTGAAACCCAACATGACCTCATTTGGGGTTGATGAGCCATTGTTATAACTTATTCAGACTATGCATGTCAACATCCTTCTCATACATGAAGACTTGATGGGTGGTTTACATTAATATATTCCAAAGCCTGAGTAGGTGAGGCGTACCATCTGGTTCTTTAACATAGCCATGGAAAATCATCATTTTCAATAGGTAAATCATCTATTTCTATGGGCCATATTTTTAATAGGGTATAACCAGAGTTATAATATATTACAATAGTTATATAGTCTGGTTGGTGGTTTTAACCATCTTGAAAAATATGATTTCGTCAATGGAACTATCCAGTACTTGGAACTGTCCAGAAAGAACTTCAGAGATTTTATGGGTGCAGTCCGTCTCTGCTGGAGTCCAACTCGATGTGTAGAAGCTCCAGCAGTTGACGGATTAGGCGATTAGGCCTAGCGGCGATGCTGGACCCCGGGCGGCAAGCCATAAATTTGGGGATCCCCAATTTATGCCGTGGTTTACAATCAAAAATCCGAAAATCAAATGGATGATTTAGGGGTACCCCCATTTCAGGAAACCTCCATATGAGTTGGGTAAGTTGATTTCCATGCCCCAACTTGACGACGCCATTTGTGGGGCTTTGGAAGGCTGCTTTCCGACTTTCCACTCAACATTGGCTATTTTCAGGGTCCAACTGTTGCTTTGGGGGATGGCAATTGTACCAAGTGGAATAATATGGAATAATTATAGCGGATAAATGCTGTTGTACACCAACCAATATCACTGAGGGGACCGTGTGCTTTTGGGTCTCCTGTACCATTTTTCGTTGGGCCATTCCCCATGATGCCATGTCTTCATCATTTTTTTGATGAATGCATGGTAAACACATATATATATATACATAAATATAAAGATACATAGTAAACATGTATATATAAACATATATAAAAATACAGAATATAAACGATAAACATGTATATGTATATATATATATACAGGTACAAACAGAACTAAAAAATGGATGTGAACATGAACAGTTCATATCGATCTTCACCCAGAATCTCAAGGCATTTAGAAGTCACCACGTCACCACGTCTTGGGCCCACGGTCACCACGTATTGAGTTGGTCATCTGCATCCCATGTCATGATATACCCTTTGGTAAACTAACTGTTTGCTATTGAAAATGGTCATTTATAGTGAGTTTTCCCATTAAAAATGGTGATTTTCCATAGTTATGTTAAATTACCAGAGGGTAAATACCCGGCCTGGTTATGTCAAAATAGCTATTGAAAATGGCCCAGTCGAAAGTTCGTGAGTTTTCCCAACTACAAAATGGTGGATCTTTCCATAGTTATGTGACAGTTTACCAGAGGGTATCGTCCATTTTTTGTAATGTGGATAACTCCATTGTTGCATTCCATTCTATTACCAGGATCCGTATATTAGGCATATATGGTAACATTTGGGGTATATTGATGGTAAATGTTCCCATATATAAATATAGCATACATGGATCCTATGAGTCGTGAGATATTATATCTGGTTGGTGGTTGCTGCTAACCCTTCTGAAAATATGAGTTCGTCAGTTGGGATGAAATCCCAATATATGGCAAAATGAAAAATGTTCCAAACCACCAACCAGATATAAATTATATCGATATCATCATTAGATACGTTCTTCAATGAATCATGCTCGTGTGGACGGCTTGAGGCGCCTCATGAATTGCATCTCAATCTTCCGTGGAAATATCCAAATGCACAGCACGATTGCCTAAGGTTGCCATGGGGGTTAAGGCAGTGCCCCATAGGTGGCGCTTTCAATCAACAAAATTCAGCAGCTTTCAATGGGATTTAACTGATTGAACCAGCAAAAAGAGTATATAAAAGTGAGCTCACGGAAACTTCATGGGAGAAGCATCAGTGCTTAATCAACATAGTTGGAAAAATTGGTGTATCTTCAGGTTGAATTTTCATTCGGGTTTATAATGACAATTAGATGTGTTAGGAATAAGCAACTTGTAATTAGCACCTGGCCGTTTCAAAATCATCGACCCTCTGGTCATCAGCTCCAGGGCGGATTTTTCTATCCGCCAACCTCGATGATTTTCCCTTGAAAATATTTGAAAATCATCAAGACCTCGATTTACTTTCAGGACTTCCGATCGTTTATAGTTTCCTATGATTTCCCGATGATTTTACCATAAAAACCAGGAACCAAACCCACAAAATTTACGGATTTCCCAGTCATGAAGCTGACACTAAAAACCGGGTCGGCCGTGCACTGGCGTGACTTCGAACGTTTCCACAGGGCTCCGAAAAACATGATTTCGCTCTTCGGGGATCCAATCGTCATGGGTTTAAGGATGTTTAAGGGACATTTTACAGGAAACTCGCCCTACGCCGTGTCCAAAGTTTAGCTCAACTCCTACCCTCTGGTAAACTAACATAGCTATGGAAAATCACCATTTTTAATGGGTAAATCCACTATAAATGGCCATTTTCAATAGCTATGTTAAATTACCAGAGGGTAGCTCAACTCCTATATTTGATGGGGAAAGGAGAAAGCCATGGTTTCCTGCAGAATTTACCAACAATCCAATGAAATTGTGCCAAAGTTTAGCTTCAAAAACAGCGCAAAATTGGCGTCATCGTAATGTCCAAGAAGATGCAGAAAAGGTCCATTTTTTAGTCTATGACTCAGTTGGAATTTACTCTTGTACGTCTTCTTTGGGCTTGCTATAAGAAAGCATATGCCCATCATCATCCATCCCATTTTTTTCCCCCTTACATTTCAGTATTGATGGTGGTTGTCCCTGTTTTTTTATGGTACCCATGGCTTTCCCACTGCATCCCACCCCCACCACGAAGACCCAAGTGGCATAAGGGACAACGTTGACTTCCTTGACTCGAAGTTGACGCGCATGGATGGGGTCAATAAAATGGGTCAATAGTTGTTCAATGGTTTCTTGATTGGATATTGGTGGCTTCTGATGTTTATTAATCGATATCAGTGGCTTATGATCTTTACTAGTGGACTTTAATTAGAGGCCTATGATTGTGTTTTCCTGTTTTTTGATGGTCTATGAATGTTTTGAATGGTTTGTGATAGCTTATTGTGGCTGTAACTACTGTGTGCAAAACCCAAAACAGTAAAATGCAGGTTGTAAAAAATCCAGCACGCCATTCTTTGAACACTTTCCATAGGTGAACATAAAGGGGACGCTATGGGACGCCACTAATTTCACAGCCTGCAGGATGGGGCCCCCCAGTTATATGTTGATTTATAAACCACAAACCATAGAATTCAGCTACTTATATATCTCTCAACTGAACGCTATCGACTGGGAGCCCCATCCTGTGGCTGTTCATCCCCACTATGAATTTTACATTCATGGAAGGCTATTGGGGCACAAGGGACGTGACTACTTTGAAAGGATTCAAACCCCCAACTCCAGTGCACTGTGGGCTCGGTTGTGCCAAGGCTGGCCATAAATTTTGACCCATTCCCAGTCTCTTCTCTCTGCTTCTCGCTGTGAAATTGATCATGGACCAAGGAAGAACGCTAGGTCCAAAGCAGAAAATGCATCAGTTTACGGTGGTTTGACTGCGATGTTGGGATGGTTTAAGGTTCTCAAAATACGCGCAATTTGGTGTGCAATTTGTTTTTGGAGATTTTGAGAACATTTCATGTCGCACTCAGAAGTATAAGTTGCTATCTTCCAGGCTATTACTACCATGTACATGCAATCAAGTGAGATGTTTTCAGCACAAAAATGATGATCATTCACCCATGAATTTGCCATTGATTTCAACTCCGGATTGATAGCACCTGCTTTACTCATTAGGGAGGTTACCCTCAAAAGTTGGGAGAAAAAAAAAAAACGCCCCACTGAAAAGGGTAAATCCATTAACATCCCTATTAATGTCATTCCATTATCATCCCTAATAAAGAATGTCTTTAGCCATATTAAACTACCATTAAACCGCAATTTTTCTGACCGAAATCACTATTTTAAGCCAGCAAACCTTGCTAAGGCGCTTGTCAAATCAAATCCCACCACGTATCCTACAATTGATTAAGGATGCAAAGAGTCACCATTAAGAAAAAAAACATACCCTCTGGTTATGTCAAAATAGCTATTGAAAATGGCCATTTATAGTGAGTTTTCCCATTAAAAATGGTGATTTTCCATAGTTATGTGACAGTTTACCAGAGGGTAACTGGCAAAACATCAAAAAAACTCATCATCCCATGCCTCTTAAAATAAATCATTATCCTAAGGGTTTAGAAGTGTTACGAATATATGACCCCCAAAAAAAGAAAACATCACCCAACTATGTTCACGCTACGCTAAAGAAATATACATATAGAATCAATTTATCAAATAGATTATAATCATGTAAATGAAATCATCAAATGATATCAAATATGTTCAACTATATTCAAATATCGCATAATCGAGAAAAACATAATTAATCATATTTATATTTGCATAATAATATAATATATATATATATATACAAATATGCATGCATCCACCAAAAATTGTCATAACACCTGGCTACTGACCTTTTCATATGACCATCCCCTGATCCCCATCACCTTACGAAAATTACTATGCTTCTACAAGAAAACTTCTAATCCAAGAGGAAATGAATTGTATCACAATAGTCTAATTATGAACAATAGTCTAATTATCTATATGTATCTAAAACTACTATAGATTACTATAGTGGCCTGGTTCATGATGTTCATGACATCAAAAAGATTCAAAAAGCATATGACTAAATTGTATCGGTTGTATCACCCAAAAAAAAAAAAAACTTTTTTTCATGTTCATCATGTCACATCAACTCGACATACCCTCTTGTAAATCACCATTTTGTAGCTGGGTAAATCCACGAGCTTTCTATGGCCATTTTTAATGGGAAAATCACAACTTTTAATGGGAACATCGCCATTTTTAATGGGAAAATCGCAGTTTTCTATGGGAAAATCATCATTTTCGATGGAAAAATCATCATTTTCAATGGCTTTTTCGATGTTTACCGGGTTGGCTCACCGGCTTGGCCAGCCAAGCGGCCCGAGACCAACCACTTCGTCACGCAGCTGCGGTGGAAGCAATGGCCACATGGGATCTTAGCCACTGACGTCGGCAGGGCTTCATCCGTTGCCATGTCCTGGTTACCACGGACGGGTGGTGCCCCGATGTTTGTTGGTTAAAAAGCCCATGAAGACTAGTTATATCTACCATAAACCATAGTGACTATAGTGAAATTGGAGTTATTAGTTCACCATAACAAAAAGCCCATGAAGACTATAGATAGATATTAGATAGATGCAAAAATAGAATGGGGATATACACAATGTGGTGTTTGCCTGTTATAAGTTGGTTTATAAACCCTATGAAGACTAGTTCGTTATATCTACCATAAACCATAGTGAAATTGCAGTTATAAACGCGCCAACTTAGCGTTCACGAACTGGGGCACCACCTTGTGGTTCTCGGATGGCGGGACCCAGGACGGCAGGAAACGGGGAAATGGACCTAAGCACCTGTGGCCGACGTCCATTTTCACCTGGGAATCCTGTTCGAAGGGGCCCGCAAAGAGTAAAGCAACAAATCCCATAGGATCCATGGTGCTGCTATATATGGTAACATGGATCCCATCAATATACCCCCAATGTTAGCATATATACCATACATGGATCCTATGGGAATAATTGACAATTATATAATCAGATAATTAATCAACAATTTGTTTATCAAATTTCTAGTTGATAACAGTTCATTGATGGTAGGTACCTCTCTGTTGGTTGAAGTAACTAGGCCAACGATTGAGTGGGTTGTGGATATCTCGCTCCAAGTGGATGGGTACAACTAAATCCTAGCGAAAATCCTTTGCCAAGTATATACTGGACAGTGACACTTGGGAAATTCATATATTTAGATATATTTAGTGGTTAAAATCAATTATATATTTATATGTACATGGATTCTTCAAAGCGTCTACCATCATTATCTAGGGGATCTAACAGCTTATACAGTAAAACCCAGTCTGATGGTGATGTTCATTCTCCACATCCTGATTGCTCCATTCCCTATTTTTCAGTGAGATTTTCCATGATCACCGGGATTCTTCCAACAGAAATCCCAAGAAATTCACTGACCAAGGGCTTTTAGAATTACCCGTTTTACTGAGAAATGATCCTCCCACGGTTAGTTTCGATCTGCGCCTCATGGCAAATGGCACATAGACCACCGCAGCTCTCCGGAATCTCAATGATCTGATCCACGGCTTGCGACAGCCTCGCAGGCAAGCCATGGCAGGCCACGGTCGCAATGGAAAGCCACGGGACCGGAAATACTGGCATTCCATGGCATTCCATAACCATTTTGTGAAAGGTGTTCATCTTGGGAGGCTAAAATCATTCTCTCCGAATGTTATGATATGTTATGATGTCATCATCCGGAAAAACAGGCACAAGTCACAAACAAATTTAGCATGTTAAAAGAATGATGTGCATTGATTGAAACATCTCCATGTCTTCGGCCAAATTCGGTGGCCGTGCACCATGGTGTACTGTACAGGACGAGGACCCCGTTTCTTAGCTAAGCTGCTTGAAATAAGTTAAACTAAAGATTGGGGTTATTGCAGATATACGGTGTGTGCATATACATGTATGATATATATATATATATATTTATTTATTTATTTATTTATTTATGTATTTATTTATTTTAGTATATTATATAATATTCTACAGTTAGATATGGCCCATGGCTATTAACCACTATGAAAACCAGCAAACATTTCACCGGGGTTCCTGCGGTGGCCAAGTGACAAATGTTTCCGCAACCCTTTGCGGAACGCCAAGGTCCTGAAAGGACAACCAGCACCAAGTTATGTCCTTTTTCGCAAGTTAAGGGCTGGTTGTACCCTCTGGTAAACATACAAAAAACTATGGAAAATCCCCATTTTCAATGGGTAAATCCCCATTTTTCATAGGGTAAACTAACAGTTTGCTATTGAAAATTTCCATGGAAATAGTTGATTTATATACCCATTAAAAACATGTGATTGTCCATAGTTGTGTTAGTTTAGCAAAGGGTAACCACAGTCAGTAAGTGGACTAACCGTACTTTCAACATCCCCTCTAGTATTAAAAAAAAACGTGGCTATGGAAGATCGCCCTTTTTTTGAGCTAAAATCATCCATAAAAGATCCAGTTTCGCTGGGTGGGGTCTCAGTTACAGCTGGGCATGGCATGCCTATGAAACAAATGAACCAACCATAACCAACCCTTCTAACCGGGTTTACCTGGATCCATCCAGCGCACACCCTCCACTTCACCAAGTTTCTGTTCTGGAGTCAACTGCTGACTCACCAGCATGTTCAGGGATGGGGCGTTGCAGCACTCGTGAACCATGCCTCCCCGGGACGAATATGGTGACTATGGTGACTATGCGTCACGAGACTGGCACAAGATCTGGCAAGGGAAGACAGACGTACACATATCTTATCTCAATGGATTGGTTTAAGGGAAAATCTACAGGAAACCATGGTTTTTACCATCAAATATAGGGGTTTCCTGTAAATTTTCCCATCATCCAATTCTATGATTATCTGGATATATCTGGATTATTTCTATGATAAATCAATCCATCAATCCATATCAATCCCAAACCGCTGCAGAAGGCCTTGATCGGGGAGGATTACCCTAGCTAACCATTCCCTATTGCTGAGGTCCTGTGAGGTGCATATATACCCTCTGGTAATTTAACATAGCTATTGAAAATCACCATTTTTAATGGGAAATTCCACTATAAATCACCATTTTCAATAGCTATGTTAAATTACCAGAGGGTAGCTATGGAAAATAGCCCATTTATAGATGATTTTCCCAGCGAACTACACCTCCATTTATTTCAGGGATATTCCATGGCTATGTTAAACTTCAGGAAAAACCACATCAAACCACATTCATCAACCACTTCCCGCACCTTGAGAGTCCGAGACCTCGTTGATTTCCAGCAGGGCTAAGCCTCCAGAACTCAAACGGCGAGGCCGAGGGCGAGGTATCGCAGAAACTGGTTGGGGTTGAGGAATATCCCAAGATTTATCCCAAAAATATGAAGAAAAAACATAGTAATCATAGTAGCTGGATGTAGTAATCATAGTAGCTGGATGTCTAGCTGGATGTAGCTGGATGTAGCTGGATAAGCCTAGTGGTGCTCTATCTGAATATTTTCTCCAAAAAGTAACATCAATTCCATCGCTTCCCCAAGATTCGGGGTTTTCCATTGGGAAAATGGTCCAGTAGATCCAGGGAAAAATATGTGGAAATCCCACAGATTGAAAAGCAAAATCCGACTAAAACAGTGGACTTATGTTTTTATTTTAAGGTTACTATAACTATAACTCTCTCTCTCTCTCTCTCGACTTATTTCCAACTATCATTGAACTGATTTATAAGGGGGATTCAGATATCTTCGGGGATTTGTTACACGAAATAATGGTGTTTCCAATCTAAAAACCCTGCAAATGTTCAATTCCCACTAGTGGGGTAAGAAAGGGCCAATCAAATCGTTTCCCCCACATTGAACTTAATGCGTTGCCCTCTCTGCAGCCAACAAAAAAACAGCAACCCAACAGCCAGCACTAACCTATACCCTCTGGTAAACATACAAAAAGCTATTGAAAATGGCCATTTATAGTGGATTTTCCCATTAAAAATTGTGATTTTCCATAGTTTTTTGTATGTTAACCAGAGGGTAACCTATACCTACAACCATAGCTGGATGCCACCATAGGCAACGCCTCGCAACCTTCAACTGGGCTTCGAAAAATTCCCCAACCAGAAAGCATCGCCAATGCAGGGGTGGCTCTAGAAAAATATGGGTGCCCAAAAAATCGGCATAGATGATGTGTATTTCACACTTCCCAGGTGTCCAAATGTCCTAATTATCTATGGGATTGCTATAGGTAAATAGTAACCCCTAAAACATCCTAAGACTATGGAAAAGTAACATACCACTAACTAATTGGGATGTTACTTTACTATCTTTTTTTGGGGGTTGATATATACATAGAAACATAGAATTATATATTATATCTATACACCATTTTGAGCAGGTGGAATCATGTTTATAATCATTTATCATTTATTTCTATGTGCAATTTTCCACATGTAAATATCCAAAGGTAATATGAGGCTTTCTTACAATGTGGGATCCGGATCTCCAAGTCACCATGCAGTCCAATACTAAAATGGCCATCCATGACTTGGATGAGGGGCTACCCGGATTGCAGGAAACCTCCTAATATAAAGACTGGTTGGTGGTTGCTGCTAACCCCTCTGAAAAATCATGGAGTTCGTCAGTTTGGATGATGAACTTCCCAACTGAATGGAAAAATAATCCAGCCATGTTCCAGCCACCGCCAACCAGAATATATACACTCCCACTATTTAACGTAGACGTCGGAATTGAGCAAATTTTGATCCGACGGCTACGTTTATTATAAGCGCAACGGCCAACGGCTAAGGTTTCTTGAACGTCCAAACGGTAAGTTTTCACTGTTTCTCCCAACGGCTACGTTAAAGAGTGTTTTTTTTGGCCAATAGCTTTGTTCATTGCACTTTGCACGATGTTATGAAAATTGTTCAACCAATAGCTATGTTAATTAAGCGGGAATGTTTTATATGTATAGCTATGTTTAATTCACTTTGCAACGATGCTATAAAATGGTTCAACCAATAGCTATGATGTTTAATTAAGTGGGATTTTCTAGTGGCAATCGTTTTGGATCTTGCCCGATCCTTTGCAGCTGTGCGGTGATCAAAATCTCTGGGCAAACCCCCAGAGAGCCGATCATTTGGATTGCTTCCAAGCCCACCATGAATCTGTCGAGGTCGATTCGAGGTCGTAGCTTGAATCCAGGAATTTCTAGCAGCTGGTTGGCTCAGGGCTACTAAGGGGAGACTATATACAACTCACCTATTTTTCCCAGTTGTGAAAGCCATAGCCTCTGGTAAACATACAAAAAGCGACTATTGAAAATGGCCCAGTCGAAATCGTTGATTTACCCATAAAAAAATGGATGGATCTTTCCATAGTTGTTATGTGGCTGTTTACCAGAGGGTAAATGCCATTAATATCCCATTGAATCACTATAAAATTCCATTAAATCCAATGAAATCCCAATAAATTCCTCATTAAATCCCATTAAATCCCATTAAATCCACATTAAATCCTCACTAAATCCCAATAAATTATATTAGTTTACCATGTCGGGTATCTCAATTTCTCCTCGTTTTTGCTGGGTTTGTCATGGTGGAATCTCAAGTTTCTCCGGTGCTGGCCTCGTTGAACTGGCTTGTCTGGATGCGCTTCGTTCCACCTAAGCAGGTCAATCCGTCAATCCCCCCGATCCGATAGGGAATCCATCATGTAAAAAGATTCTAAATCATTATAATCTTTAGGGTGATATTCCCTATCCTTAAAAATAATCCCTATCATAATCATTATCATAGGGAATATCATAGGGAATTTATTAAAATCAATCTAGATTTAGGGATTATTTTTAAGGATGAAAAATCATTATCATAGGGAATATCATAGGGAATCAATACCTAAATCATTATCCCATTATGGATTCGAAATCCAAACATCATCCATCCATCCGATTCATAATATTCATACGATAATCTAATCTAATTAAACCATTCTACTAGTACCCTCTGGTAATTTAACATAGCTATTGAAAATGGCCATTTATAGTGGATTTACCCATTAAAAATGGGGATTTTCCATAGTATTTGTATGTTTACCAGAGGGTAGCTCATTCCAAATCTCGACCATGGATTGATGACCATCCCAAATGGCTATAGAATCCAACTTTTGACTCGGAGCGGGAGCGTGTCGTATCTCCTAGAAACCTATCAGTCATCCCAAGCGCTGCTGGCGGGCAAGACTGACAATTGTGGCAACAAGAAACAAAGACCCTCAAGAAAACATGCAAGTGGTGACAAAGTTAAGTATTATCGTCTCTTTCCAGTGCGTTCTGCATCCAACTTTTGACCATCGCACATTTAATTAATCATATAGCAGTAAAGCAACCCCCAAACAATGCGGCTATGTATATAAAGCCGATTGCTTTTTCGCCCCATTCCATCACCATTATATCATCATTAAACCACCTTCATAGCCGTCATAGCCCCATTAAATAATCACAAATCACATTTTATATTATCATTAAACCACCTTTATAGCCCCATTAAATAATCACAAATCCCATTTTATATCATCATTAAACCACCTTTATAGCCCCATTAAATAATCACAAATCCCATTAAATCACCATAAAATCCCATTAAATCACCATAAAATCCCATTAAATCACCATAAAATCACCATAAAATCCCATAAAATCACCATAAAATCCCATAAAATCACCATAAAATCCCATTAAATCACCATAAAATCACCATAAAATCCCATTAAATCACCATAAAATCCCATTAAATCACCATAACATCCCATTAAATCACCATAAAATCCCATGAAATCACCATAAAATCACCATAAAATCCCATTAAATCACCATAAAATCCCATAAAATCACCATAAAATCACCATAAAATCCCATTAAATCACCATAAAATCCCATTAAATCACCATACAATCCCATTAAATCACCATAAAATCACCATAAAATCCCATAAAATCACCATAAAATCCCATAAAATCACCATAAAATCCCATTAAATCACCATAAAATCCCATTAAATCACCATAAAATCCCATTAAATCACCATAAAATCACCATAAAATCCCATAAAATCACCATAAAATCACCATGAAATCACCATAAAATCCCATTAAATCATCATAAAATCACCATAAAATCACCATGAAATCACCATAAAATCCCATGAAATCACCATAAAATCACCATTAAATCACCATAAAATCACCATAAAATCACCATGAAATCACCATAAAATCCCATGAAATCACCATAAAATCACCATAAAATCCCATTAAATCACCATAAAATCACCATAAAATCCCATTAAATCACCATAAAATCCCATTAAATCACCATAAAATCACCATAAAATCACCATAAAATCACCATAAAATCCCATTAAATCACCATAAAATCACCATAAAATCACCATAAAATCACCATAAAATCCCATGAAATCACCATTAAATCACCATAAAATCCCCATGAAATCACCATCTCCGAAAGCCGTGCGACTCACGGATCGCCTCAGATTCCATCACTGCACTGATGACCAGGCCATCCACACGCGGATGTTGCGCAATGATGAGTCCCAGAGGAGAGCCGTCTGCCTCACAAAAACGCTGGCAGATGGTTTAAATATCTAAATGTCGAGATATCAGAGAAGTTGGTGATTTCTTTCATGGAAAAAACATATATATGATATAATATATATATATAATTATTGGATTTAAAAGGGGACACCAAGAAAAATAGTGATGCAACTCTGCTTACTCAGAAATTATTGGAAAATATGAGTAATATAAGATTTAACCATTGAAAATTGAGAAATTGCGGAGAAATTAAAAACCTGTAATAAAATACTCTCAACATCTCTCAACTCCAGTATTCATCAATTGAAATCCCAGTAAAACATGATTTGTCTTTGTTCAATCCCATTGAATCCCACAGTGCCATAGCCAGGTTTGCAAAATACAATGGACGAACATGGATGCACCGAAGAGCTGGTGGATTTTTTCATTTTGGGGTTCAGTTTCAACAAGTTTCAACCCACGATATCCTTGAAACGAAGAACATCGAAGAAGACAGAAGAGGCATTCGCTTTAGGCCCACCATTGATTCAAGCATTCATTTGCCTGGCAGTTCTAATCAGTTCTATAGGGTGTATCCCTCCAAGGGAAGAAAAACATCTGCGGCTTAAAACTCCGCAAAAATATGAGTCAATCATTAGTTATATTATATATTATATATATATATATCCTCCCCAGATCTGTATCTTCATTATATCCCCATAAAAATCATCTGTTTTTAAAACATCTTAGTGGAACATGTAGCGACGTGACCAGTGTCAAAAACCTCTTGCAGCCCAAAATTGAGGTTATCGAATCGGAAATCCCAGCTCATGGTTTCTGAGAGTCCCCAAGGTCCCCATAAGGTATCAAGGTCAATATAACCCCAAGAAAGGAAAAAAGATCAACGAACCATCATGTAACAATGTAACAATGCAAGTAGAGTATTTGCCCATATTTTTGACCGAATTTCCTACCAATGGGTTCTTAGATCATGAAAAATCCCATATTAAATCCATGTTTGCTGCTCAAGAGCTAACCAAGAAGATCTTATAGTTATATATCCTCTTTAGATCTGCGTCTTCATTATATTATCCCCATCAAATCGATGGGGATCAAAAAGCCAGCCCCTGAACACCCAAAGAATCTCGCCGGGATAACCACGGTCGAGGTTGCTGAATCCTAATCATCAGTAAACAATTATGCCTGTATTCCCTGTATTCCCTGTATATCCCCATTGTATTTTTGCATCTGTCTGTACCCATGACGGATCCATGGTGCTGGTAGAAAAATGCTAACATGAATGGGATATATTGATGGGATCCATGGAGCACCATATATAGCCGCACCATGGATCCTATGGGATATAAAATTCTATGCCCTCCGGCCATCAAACATGGCAACATGGCGTGGAAAACCCATCGAAACATAGTTCGATGACATGTTCAAAATTGAAACGTCGAATTTGGAGATTTCCCAGCCATGTTTGATTTTTGCCCCGTTTGCCACGTATGTTCTTTGCAAAACCTGTGCGATGTTTGACTCCCGGACAGTAATCATCAATGATACCATAGATTCCACCATATCCCCATTAAAAATTGATATAGAAATGACATGAAATGACTATGTTCCCACCATTCCCCATGTGTTTTCCATAAAATTAGGGAATGAACCACAGCAAGCATGCTAGGCTGCTAGATCAGAAGTCATTTTTTCTATATATATATATATATCAACTATGAATCAGTATAAAATAGTATAAATTCATACATCATCTAAACCCAAAACCATCCCATTCACCCACCCAAAAATGGGAGGCTCATTTGAAACATCATCCATCTTGGGGCATCACATCTTGGGGATGGTTTTTAGTGCGTACCGGCTTTACCACATTAACATTCGAAACCAGTGATAACTTAGATAGCCTCTGGTAAACATACAAAAAGCTATTGAAAATGGACATAGAAATAGTGAGTTTTCCCATTCACAAAATGGTGATTTTCCCATCAGTTTTTTGTAAACGTTTACCATGTCGGGTAAATCCCGGAATTTAAATGGCTTCATTCTTGTTCTCCCGGGATATCCATCTAGAGTATCCCGGGTATTAACCAAAATCAATAGATCATCATTAAAATGGGATAGTAATAGATAATACCCTCTGGTAAATTAACATAGACCCTGGTAGTTGTTGGGGTTGGAAGACTAGTTTCCATTAAAAATTGGTGATTTTCAGGGTCAAACTGTTAATTTACTGGAGGGTAAGTGACAATAGGGAGTACAATTATATAGTTATCTATTGCTAGCCCACAATGTCACAATCATCCTCTATCATATTCATAGAATATTCTCGTTTAATGAAGATACTACATAGCATCCTATGACCTACTATCTACTACAATTGTCAATCCATATTGAAACTATTACTATTACTGATTACTAGTACTATTACTATCCCACAATCATCCTATATATCAATTATCTATTACTAGTACTATTCTCATATTTACCATCCTATGACGAGGTATCCCATGAAATTATTTATGTCTACCCTCCGGTAATCAAACATGGCAATGGAAAATACACTATTGATAGGTGGTTTTCCTATTGAAACCCCCATTTCTAGTGGATTTCCAATTGCCACGTTTGATTACCGGAAGGTACTAATTCTTACTATTCCACAATCATCCTATATCAATCCATATTCTCATATTGATACGGAATCATAAAAAAAAATCGTCATTGTGGCCTGTCGGTCGAGGACCACACGATAGGTCTTCTTGTCCTGGGAATGACCCGTGCGAAAGGTGCGATACGTTTCGATTTCTTTGCCCTGGCTGGGGGAGAAAGAAAAAACACAGCAAAATCATGAGGTTTTTTCTGATGTTTTATGGCATAAACCTACTATTTAAGCAGCAAAAAAGGGTGGCTTTCAATGGGATTTTTTTCATGATACATAGCCAGACATAGCCAACAAACATGGTGGATCTCATGGTTTTTTTTGGACTTGAGCAGCTAAGTTGGTTGAAATATGCAGGTCAAGCCTTGGATTCATGGCACCTAGTGACCTAGTGGTGACCTAGTGGTGACCATGTTCCAGTAGCACAAGCATGTTTTTTCATATTCCGTGGAAATGTATGTGGAAGAAACACTCCTTCAATCCAATTATGCTAATATATATATGTGTGTGTGTGATAGATGTGCGTGTGAATGTGTTGTAAATATGGATAAATAGATATTTGCATATAGACATGTAGAAAGAGAGAGAGAGAGAGGAAGAGATCCTATATGCAAAATGAAGCACAAAAGCCTCACATAGATGACCCTGTGAAGAAAGTAACCAAAAAAACATATTTTGCAGGTAGAAGCTTCATGTTGGGGCCAAAAGTGCCATGCCTCTCACTAGGTCACTATGGTCCCATATTTTGAAAGGTCCTGAGGTTGCAGGAATGGATACAGTTTCACCTCCGGCACTGTAATCTGACAGTGTAAATGTCCAAATTAAAATATAATCAATATTGATATATTAAATTATAATCATACACAATTAATATATACCATATATAATATATCAATCTGATATTGTGTATATATGGTATATATTGATAGATTATATATGGTCATATATGCTGTGTTTGTGTGATCCGTTCCTGGAGGATTACCGTGGCGAAACTTTCCACTTGGCTAAAATCACCATGGGAATTCAACCATCCAACGGCACCAATGACCTGCAGAGGGATACCCGGCCGACGTAAACATACAAAAAGCTATGGTTAAAATGGTCATAGAAATATATGATATAGCCATTGAACATGGTGATTTTCAATAGCAAACTGTTAAATTACCAGAGGGTATCATTCAGTCAGAATTATATCCCAAGTATTCCATAGTATTCCAAGTCGCACCACCGCTTCAGTCGCGAAAATCCATAAAATCATGTACAGAAAAAAAAGTAGTCATCTCCATGTCGTGTTAGCTGGGCGTATTTCATCCTCATATTATCTGGCTGGTGGTTTCAACCCCCCTGAAAAAAGAAAAATATTGGTCATTGAGGATCAGTATTCCAAATACGGTTGAAAATTCAACGGATATTGAAACCACCAGCCAGTTATTGTTGGTTAAATAGCCATCATTGTGCATCATCACAACTATGCTACCGTAAATTGCCACTACATACTGGTGCTTAGTAATGGGGGGAAGATTCCAATCCATCTGGGTACATTGTACCAAGTTACCAACCTGAAAAGCTCAACTCTTCTGGTACACATAAGGTTGGTAAATTGGTTCAGTACTGACTGGTTGGTGGTTGGTTTCAACCCCTCTGAAAAATATGACTTCGTCAGTTGGGGTGATGACATTCCCAATTCCCAACTAAATGGAAAGTCATAATCCAGCCATATTCCAAACCACCAACCAGATCATGTTTATCCTCTATAAATGGACCATGTTCATCCATTTTCCTATGTTCAAACCACCAAGCAGATGATGATTCTTGTTCATTATGCATACAATGTGGTGCCCCTCAGTGATGTTTGTTGGTTTATAAGCCCCATTAACTAGTTCGTTATATCTACCATAAACCATAGTGAAATTGGAGTTATGTTCACCAACTTAGCTAACGAACTGGGGCCCCCAAGATAGCTAAGTTGGTTTATAACTCCAATAACTATGGTTTATGGTACTTATAACTATAGTTAGTGGGGTTTATAAACCAACTTAGCTAACGAACTGGGGCACCACCTTGTAGTCCCAATTTATCATGTACCTTCCCTATACATAAACCCATCATGTCAGTGGCGCAACGCGGCACATTTTAACCTCAAATACTCAGCGAAAAGCTCCTGAGTTAAAGGGCTGGTTCGTCTATGATTAGTACATGCTTCGTATATGGTTAGTATATTCCTAATCAAGGTGTATCATAATCTATGGTTAGTACATGGTTAGTATGTGGTTAGTATATTCCTAATCATAGACCATATACTAACAACATTACTAACCATGTACTAATCATATTCCTAAACCACATTATTCTATGCAAGGTGTACCCACAACCGGCTGCATTCGCATTCGCATTCGGTGAATCCGAGCATCACTGGGCGATTGACAGCCCGCCATCGCAACAATCGCCACAAAAACCGGCGAGTTGTTCGGGTCAGGTGCCCGGATGTTCTATGCAAAGAATTAATAAATCGTGACATTTCATATCTACTTCTGCATACCTATGAAATATATGAAATATACATATTATATATATACACATGCAATTTTGAATACCGAAAACATGTGCGAAACAACGTGTCTGCGTTTTGAACAGTGGCGCCTTCCTTTGAGCCTGGAAGCGTCATGTGGGCACCAACGCATATGTTGCACCCCAGGAGTAAAAACCAACAGGGAGTTCGAGGGTTAGCATGCGTGTTTATATAAGTATGCATATATATATATACACATGTGTGTGTATTGATATATACACACATATTCGTGTGCATAAATAAATGTTTGTAGGCATACACCCTAGTTAGCAGTTGGTTTATAAACGCATATATGTAAATACAATTAAATGCATATCATTTATCTATCATGAACCAAACTTGATCAGCATAACTAACTGCATTTTTTTCTGCTCAGACATGTTCAGTTCGTTCATTCCCCCAAATCCTCAGCATAGCCGAATTCTTGGGTATGTTTGACCCATTCAGTGGTGATTTGCCACTTGTACAATGTGGTGCCCCTTAGTTATAAGTTGGTTTGTAAACCCCATTAACTAGTTCGTTATATCCACAATAAACCATAGTGAAATTGGAGTTATGTTCACCAACTTAGCCAACTATGGGGCACCACCTTGTAGGGGATTTTCTTCCCTCATTCTTTCCCAGTTTCTGAGGACCTAAAAACACCTGAAACCGCTTCTTGGTGATCACTAGTCCGGTTGGTCGTGAAGACACCGCGCATCTTGGAGACACTCTTGGCATCTAAGATACACTGCAAAACATCTCTGGTTGGTGGTTGACCTACCCCTCTGAAAAATATGAGTCAGTTGGGATGATGACATTCCATAGTATTCCCAATAAATGGAAAGTCATAAAAGCCATGTTCAAAACCACCAACCAAATAATTTATCATTAATCACCATGATTACTCACCATTAATCACCATTAAACCATAAAATTCCATGGTTCCAAACCACCAACCAGATCTGTTTTTATAATAGGATTCAGCCAGGGACCCCAGTTAGGTGAACCCATCGAAGAACAAGGGCGAATCTTAACCCTGGTCACCTTTATTGGGGGGGTTGACCACTTTCAACTACCCTTCACTGAGGCTTACCTTCTGGTAAACGTTTACATAGCGAACTGGAAAATCACCATGTTGTAGCTGGGAAAATCCACTATAAATGGCCGTTTTCAATAGCAATGGTTGTTTACCATGGTTTTACCCATATTCTTTTGTGGATAAAGATGGTTAACAGAAGGGTTTACCATGGTTTTACCAATATTTTTTAAAGGTTTTACCATGGTTTTACCCACACCCCTGGTTTTGGATCTTTTTAGTTGCAATGGGCCTGAGCCAGCTCATGGTATATTTTTTTTCTGCACTGTCACATTTTTTTCGCATCTCTCCATAACATCAGCGCAAGGTACTCCAAAAAATCAAACACATATCCTAAAATAACATTGGAATCTGGGTTTCCCACAATATTTACACTCCAGTAAATTAACATAGACCCTGGCAGTCATCGGGGTTGGATTTTTTTTGTTTCCACTCAAAAATTGCTGATTTTCGGGGTCAAACTGTTAATTTACCACAGGGTAAATCCGATTAATATCCCATTGAATCACTATAAAATTCCATTATATAGTAAATCCTATGATTTTCATTGATTTTCCATAGTTTTTTGAAAGTTTACCAGAGGGTATATATAAGATCTTCCAGTGAACTCATAGTTTGCGAACTGGAAAATATTGTCCGCGGAATTCGATTAATGATTACCCATTACCCAGCTGATGATCTCAGCTACCGCAACCTGTCAGAAAATTACAAAAAGGTATACCCTCCGGTAAACATACAAAAAGCTATTGAAAATGGACCATAGAAATAGATGATTTACCTATTAAAGATGGTGATTTTCCATCGTTATGTAAACATTTACCAGAGGGTATATCTCCTTTTTAGGATCCCGTTATAAAAAGGAGATATATCTGTTGGTAATAATTACCTTTTGTCATCACATCATGATATATCTCATGAAACCCACAATAAGGTGATATCCCGTTATATTTCATCACATCATGATAACCATTACATTAATATAACTGTATTCAATAAATAATCTGGACAAATCAATGTCAACCAGCCTCATCAGACACAAAACCCAACATCGAAACGGTCCACCACCTTGGCTTCTCACTGTCGAGCGCGCCGGGCTCTCCTTTGTGTTTGTCATCTTCACAAACACACACGCACCAATAGATATATAAGTAATTAAGCATATGTGATTACAAATATGTGTATTTATGTATACATATATGTATTATGTATGTGTGTTTATCTGTGTCTGTGTGTTGAAATCAGCTTTGTTTGGAGTTAGCTGGCGGGGAAATCCCGATTACCAGAGGCGATCAATGCCGCCTATTCAACCAACTTTCCAAGTTATGATATTCCCATTCATTGTATGTTATATGTCCATTAAACAAATAAATAATACATATTATATATATAATGTATCTAGATTATGTGCATATATATATATATATGTGTGTGTGTGTGTATTTCAATATTCCATTATTTCCACCTAATTCCCACGACATATCGCAGATATTTTGAATGGGATTCACTTTGCAGGTCGCGCCACTTGAGCCCAGGTGGCGTCGCTCAAACATGGCTGGGAAATCTGCGTCAAACATGTCCGGGAATTGAACCGTTTGCTATTGAAAATGGCCATAGAAATAGTAGATTTACGATGATTTACCTATGAAAAATGAGGAGTTTGAATTATGTTACTTTACCAGAGGGTAATGGATCTAAATGGGAGACTTTCTGTTGCCTCATTGCCTCCTAGTTGTGGCAACGTTGGTTCATCAACCCATCTAAATCAATAGAGGTTTATGAAATTTGGTATACCATGGTATACCCATATGACTAGGATAATGCTGATCATGACCCCCAGTCATGGCTGGTGAATGGGATGGTTGATTGGGTTTAATTACCACATTATCTACTCATTAGGAACCTTACAGTTATGGCCATAAAAAGTTATAAATTGGAATGTGATTTATATTTAATTTATATATATATATAACCTTGGTTAAAAGAGTTATTTCATCCCATTTATAACTTTTAGTTGGGCCATAACCTTAACGGGTTCCGAGTTATCACCCTGTTAGTTGGGCATGTGAATTCAACTCTCCCAGTCAGGATGGATAGTAACCAGAAATAGATGGCTAGTAACTAGTAAGCGTCAAAAACTTGGGGAAGTTTACTCGATTGGCTTCAGGAACCAAAATATGTATATATATACCACAAATATATAAATATATATATATATAATAGTCCCTTAATCGATTCGCCAGTCGCTTCGTGGATTTCCCATCGCGAAAAAACAAATCCTCCACAAACTGCAAATCCAGGATTAGTAAATGGGTTTACCGCACCAGATTATCCCATTCACTAGATCACGAGGGTATTAAACATCGAAAATTGGGGATGTAATGATTGGGTTTCACCATTTATAATATATTATGTCAGTGTGATGTTCAGGATCCTAAAATGGAGGTACTGTACCATACAAAGCCATATAGCCCATACATAGGCTTTATATATGGTAGGTACCTCCACTAACTCGGTTCCGGAAATGGCCATTGATTCAATTCCGAGTTGGATCACTTGAAAGCCATTGGAATACCATGGAGATCACATAGACAATAAGAAATTAGAAGAAGACAATACCTGGTTGGTGGTTGACCTACCCCTCTAAAAAATATGAAAGTCAGTTGGGATGATTATTCCAATATATGGGAAAATAAAAAATGTTCCAAACCACCAACCAGATACATAACATGATAACATGTAATTGGGTATATTTTATACCTATGTTTATGATTGTTTATGTATATTATATATATATATACACCCTCCGCGAATTCAACATAGCCATGGAAACGTTCTTGCCATTTTAAGCGTAAAGCTTCGATTTAGTTTTTTCAGCCACTTTTTTCAGGCAACTGAACGCTATTGACTGGGGGCCCCATCCTGTAAGATGTGTCAAAAAAATCGCCCATTGGGATTATTAACATCGATTAACTATTAGGGTCTAGGTTATTAACCATTATTGCTAACATCGATTTGCATTTGCATTACCCTCTGGTAAACTGACATAACTATGGAAATTCACCATCTTTAATGGGAAAACTCACTATAAATGGCCATTTTCAATAGCTATGTTAAATTACCAGAGGGTATTGGAATCATATGAAGGTGCCCTGTAAATCCCGGCCTCCATATGCTTGGCAACGGGATCAAAGGAGTCCATCACCACTCCAGCCACAAAGAGATGTTCAGCACCTCAGATTCGGAGAACGGTTTTTCAACGAAAAATCGATAGGAAAACATGGTTAAACTATGGTTAAACCCCAAAGCTATAGAAATTATATCTATAGGCCCCCAGGATAGTTAAGTTGAGATATAAGTGGCTGAATTCTATGGTTTATGGTGTAGATACAACGAACTATTAAATAATGGGGCTTTTAAACCAACAAATATAACTGGGGGCACCATCCTGTAGGAAAACATGTTTAAACCCCAAAGTTATAAATTATCATTGGGAATGCTATATCTATATTCCCTAAGTGGTTTATGAGTCCCGCAGGAAGGCCCCCCCCCTAGTATCCCCTAGTTATGTTTCTCGGATTTTGTTGCTTTATTTCGCCTCCGCTATTTAGTTCGTTCGATATATCAGCACCATAATCCCCTGTTTAACCTACTTTCAAACCTACTTAGCTAAGTAGGGGTCCTTCCCGAAAAAAACGGGTCGATATGGTTAATTCCAAAGTTTACCATCTCGAGAAGGTTATGATCTCACTTCTTCGTGGATTAAATCAATCCTGCTAACAAAACCCTCGGGTACACTAACAGTTTGCTATTGAAAATGGCCCATGTATGGCGAATT